AGCGACGAACAATAAAAGGGGTCCCACTCGAGGTGGCACAGCGACCTCACGCCGCGGCCGACGCGGGCCCCAGCCGGGCACGCCACATTGAAAGCGAGGGCGCGTGCGCGCGACCTTGCGCGGGCAATTTGCGCGCCAATGTCGGCGCAGACGACCCCTTTCTTGCGACGCGCAGCTGGAAGCCCTAGCGTCTGGTGGTGGACTGCATGAGGCTGCGGGGCCGTGCTGTCGTCGCCGCTGCTCGAGCGCAGCGCGCCCCCCGCGGACTCGCCCCTGGGGTGAGGACGCTCCCGCTGGAAGCAGAAAGAGAGAGAGAGAGAGAGAGAGAGCGAGAGAGAGCGAGAGAGAGAGAGAGAAAAGAGAACGAGAGAGAGAGAGAGAGAGAAACAACAAAAGAGAGAAAAAAGAGAGGGCGCTCCCGCTGGACGCAGAAAGAGAGCGAGAGAGAGCGAGAGAGACAGAGAGAAGTCACTGACGGGCAGATCCCAGCCCAGCGCGGGGCTTGGGCGCATGGCACCGCAGTGCCTCGCGCGTGCAACTACACGCTGACCTTCATCACGCTCTAAAGGGAAGATCACTTTCCCAATCCGTCCGCATCTCTGTGCCTTCAACACTTTCGAACCAGTGTGTCCCGTCCACATCGAAACCTGCCTGGCGTGGGCACTTAATGGGCTGGATTTCCCCAGCTTTGGGTAGAGGCCTCCTAGATGGGGTCGGAGTGGATGGGGTCGGAGGGTCGGGCCGCATCGCCGATACATCGGCGATGCATCGGCGATGCATCGTCGATGCATCAGTGATGCACCGGCGATAATTATATCGTCGACGTCGGCGATGCGTCGGCGACGTCGACTTGAGACAAATCGGGCCCCACACCGAGCCGCATCGGCGATGCATCCGCGATGCGGCGCGATCCTCCGACCACATCTACTCCGACCCCGTCTAGGAGGCCTAGATTGGGGGCCCGTCGCTTCTTCACGGGGGGCACATGCTGTGGGTCAGTCCTCACGGGGGTCGGCCCAATGGCCCCCTGATGCCCTCTGTCTGGCCCGTGTGGAAGGTGTAGGGGACGTGAGGAGCCGCTTCCACCCCCGGGCACCCCGACTCCTCCCGCCGACGTGCGCCTGGGAACTGCTTGCTGTGGCCGGCTTCGGCTTGCGACCGGGCCTTAGTTGGCCCGGGCTGGCGCTGACCCGGGCACGGGCAAGCCTGGCCCCGATCTTGGGCCACGCTCAGTGCGGGGGCGGTCAATGGAGAAGGAGAAGACCGGCACTTTTTCGGGCCCCAGAGGCTTCCTTCTGGGCCGCGAAGGGCCCCTTCGGGGGCCCTAAAGGGCTCCTTTTCTGCAGCCCTCGCTGTCCCCACATTGATCGCCTCAGCTGTCCCCGGACCTCTGGTGGCTCGACGTCTTCAATCCTCGCGCTCTTCCTCGAGTTCGGCCTCCATGGGAGGGCGAGGGGGCGGTTCTCGGGCGCTGGGGGCCATGCAGCGACAGCCCAGGGTAAGGACAGTTGGTCCTGGGGTCGAAAGCTCCAAGACTCACGGATCAAAATGATCACGACGTCAAAGGTCAATGACGGTGATGGTGATGGTGATGGTAATGGTGGTGGTGGTGGTGATGGTGATGATGGTGGTGGTGATGATGATGGTGGTGGTGGTGATGATGGTGGTGGTGATGGTGATGAAGATGACGACGATGACGACGACGAAGATGATGATGATGATGATGATGATGATGATGATGATGATGATGATGACAATTATGATGACCATGATGATGATTGGGGAGGAGGAGGAGGACGACGGCGATGCGATGCTGCTGCTGATGACGATGCAATTGTTGTTGATGATGATGATGAGGGTGATGCTGATGAAGATGGTCATGGTGATGGAGGTGACGACGATGATGATAGCGATGATTCTGATGACGATGAAAATGATGGCAATGCTGATGATGCTGCTGCTTCTGCTGATGATGCTGATGATGATAATGATGACACTTATGATGACCATGCTGATGCTTGGGGAGGGAGAGGAGGAGGAAGAGGACGACGACGATGCGATGCTGCTGCTGACGATGAAGACGTTGCTGATGATGGTGGTGACGAGGATGATCAACAGCAGCAGCAGCCGCATGCCCGCCATCATCGGGATCCACGACTCCCACAGACCGCCCGCAGAGGCAGAACTTCTGGGCGCCCCTGGGGAGAGGCGGCCTCCGCGATCCTTCTTCTCTCTCTCTCTACCTCGGGGAGCCGCCCCCGGGCTCCGGACCCGGAGGCGGGCGCCGCAGGGCATCGGATGGCGCCAGGGCCCTGGGGACACCTTCGCCCATGAGGGGCGGGGAGGAGGAGGAGGATGAGGAGGAGGAGCAGGAGGAGGAGGAGGAGGAGGAAGAAGAGGAGGAGGGAGATGAGGAGGGAGATGAGGAGGAGGAGGAGGAGGAAGAAGAGGAGGAGGAGGAGGGAGATGAGGAGGGAGATGAGGAGGAGGAGGAGGAGGAAGAGGAGGAGGAGGAGGCGGAGGCGGAGGAGGAGGAGGAGGAGGAGAAGGAGGAGTTTGGATACCCTGAAGGAGGAGGAGGAGGAGGAGGAGGAGAAGGAGGAGGAGGAGGAGGACCCAGGGGGGTGGGCGGAAATCCCACCAGCCCTCTGGGCGTCGGTGGTTTAGGGCGTTTCCTCTTCCACCCCTCCCTCTTCCCCTTCGGGGAGGGGTTTACCCCTCCCCCTACCCCCTCCCCACTGACCTGGACAGGAGGGGCGGGGAGCGGTCAGAGCGTCCAAAACGGCCTCGGCGAGGAAGCCAAAATCATTGATTTTACTATGGTTTTGGCCCCATTTTGGCCTTCTGAGGGGGCAGGGCTAATTAAAGCTCCCCTCTTCTTTGATCGATTTCCTCCACGATGGCCGCAAGAGGCCCCCAGGATGCCCCAAGAGGCCGCAGGATGGCCCCAAGATGGCCCCAAGAGGCCCCCCAAGAGGCCCCCAGGAGGCCCCCAAGAGACCCCCAAGAGGCCCCAAGAGACCCCCCAGAGGCACCCAAGGTGCTCCCAGAGGCCTCTGCGATAATGTCAAACCATTGTTTGCACTAAGGTTTTAGCCACATGTTGGCCTCTTGGGGGGGGCACTGATTAAGATGACTCCAAAAGCGCCTCGGAGAGCCCAAAACGACCTCCAAGATGGCTCAAGAAATCCCAAGATGTCTCATACTGGCTTCCTCTGTGTGCTGTCCACTTCCCTGATCGAGGCAATCCCACCAGCCCTCTGGGCGTCGGTGGTTTAAGGCGTTTCCTCTTCCACCCCTCCCTCTTTCCCTTCGGGGAGGGGTTTACCCCTCCCCCTACCCCCTCCCCGTGGACCTGGACGGGGGGGGCCGCGAGCGGTCAGAGCGTCCAAAACGGCCTCGGCGAGGAAGCCAACATCATTGATTTTACTGGGATTCTGGCCCCATTTTGGCCTCCTGAAGGGGGCAAAGATGGCCCCAAGAAGCGCCCAGGAGGCCCCAAAGAGGATCCCGAACGGCCCACAGAGGCCCCCCCCGAGGCACCCAAGACGCCGAAAAGCCCCTCAGGACGACCCTCTACTCGCCTGGGAGTCGTTTCTGGACGGGCTGGTGGGGATACGCGAAGCGTCTAGAATTGCCCAAACCACCGACGATCTGACTTGCTCGACCGGCCTTGATCCGTTCCACGGGCTTTCGGCCCTCGGGGCCTGTTGTCGGGCCCCTGGGGCATGCAAAGTGGATCTGGGGTCAAGTCGGGCGTGTCCCCCTTATCAGACTGGGGAAGGTTACCCTTTCGATTTGTTCGGTGCGTTTTGTTTGAGATACTGACCGTTTGCAGAAGTTTCGCGGAACATGCAAGCATGAGCATTCGCGTCGAGAATGAGTGGGCCATGGCAGATTGACGTATCCCCGTTCGGCGCACGGGGCCCCTTACAATGTCATTGCACACGCCACTAGTGTAGTTGGGCGGAACCATAAGGGGGGTTCGGCGGAACCGCCGGGGGGGCACATTTTCAGGTTCCTTCAGGTCCTTATAATATAATAATCCCCGAACGGTGTAGGAACCTGAAAATGCCACCGGGGTGTATTATTTGATACATGTGGAGCACCTCGGCATTTTCAGGTCGACCTGACAACTTTCAGGTTGCACCTGAAAATTTCCTCCAGGGGCGCTTCATCCATTGTTTTTTTGCACACGGATGGTACGTTCAGGTCGACCTGAAAATTTTCAGGTCTAAATGGTACCTCGCGGTGTGGAAACCTGAAAACGTCACCAGAGTGTATTATTTTATACACGCGAGGCTCCTGGGCGTTTTCAGGTCGACCTGAAAGTTGTCAGGTCGGACCTGCAAATCACGCAGCATCCATTGTTTGTTCAATGAAGGTTTGCTCTAGTCTCTCGGCAGCGGTGCGCCTTCCCCATAGACAGCGCACCCGCGCGGCGAAGCACCTGTGAGATGTTTTAATGATGTTGCGTTTTTTTTTCAAGCGAATGGCGCTGGTTCTTCCGAGATGCTGAAGGCCCCGTAAGGGGCCTTCCGCAACTCGGGAGAACCAGCGCTATTCGCATCGTCATCAGCATCGTCATCGCCATCGCCGTCGTCAACAGCATCGTCATCGCGCTTCTCCTCCAAGACTCCCACACGGGTGGCATCAAGATAGGAAGCTGGATCGGCACGAGGCCGATTTCACTTGGGCGATAAGGAGAGCGGGGGCTTGCGAAACGCGGGACCGATGTCCAGACGGGGTGCCAGGCCAGGGACCCCAAGAAACTCCACCGTCACCGCCGCGATGGTGATTGAGCCAAATTCGCGAAAACTTTCGTAGACGCGATGGGCGATTCAGCATCCCAATGCCCGTCGCCATTTGGCTCAAGTTGCACTTCGCCCTGCGTGGCCATGGCCGCCAGGGCGGAGCTCGTCAAACCCTTGAGGGCGATCGCCCGCGCGCGCGGCGTTGCCCAGGTCAGAGGCAACGCAGCCCAGGAGAAGGTACTGGCTATGGTCACCGACATCCGTAAGAAACCGCTAGAGCGGGAAGACAAGCAGAAGTTGGAGGACGCGGTGTCCGCCTACTTGGCTAGCTTCCCTGCGGTCCCTGTGTGTATATATATATATATATAGTCGGTTGCGTCCGCGAGCGAAGGCGCAGGCGGAGTCAGAAGCTGTCCGGGGCGCGGAGACGGGCCGAATTAGCTACTAGGCGCGCAGCAGGCCGGCCGGGCCAGCTCACAAAGCAGCTGCTGAACCGCGCGGGGAAGCTGACAGGCAGAGGGCACCCAGGGAAGCTCGGGCAACGTGCAGTCTGACAAAATGCAAGAAAATTATATGTACGCCCTGCGGCGTGAACCAGTCAGAGAGCGCGAGGACGTAAGCGTAGATGCCCACATGCCTCACGCGCCTGGAGGTCGTGCAGGCGAGATGAACGATGAACGAGTCGCCAGCGGGGCACCAAGTCCAGGTCCGCACCAACGGTGTATGCAAGCCAGGTGGGGCGGTCCCTGAACACGTGCACCCGGCAGGTGCCGGAGACGACGCTTCTGGAAGTTCTGCCAGTGGGTTCCGAATGCGCGGCCGCAGCTTCCTGCTCACTTACAACCACCTCTTCACGGACAAGGCCTTCCCCGACTGCGCCCCCCCGGCAGCTTCCAATGAGGACCTCTGGGCGCTATGGCGCGACTGGAAGAAACGCAAGAAGAAGGAGCTGAGGGTCGAGCAAAGCACGTCCACTTTGGAGGAGTCCCTGGACAGCGAAGACGCTGGGCGTGTTCACTTCCTGTGGAAGATAACTATAAATAAGGCCATCGACAACGCAACTCTGGTTGTGTTTGCCTTTCACGGCGTCGTGCCAGATGTCCGCCCGACGGTGGCGCTAACTGGCCAGACGCCGACGGGCACGCTGAAGACCCCCAGGGGGGCTAGCTTGGCAGAGGCAAGCAACCGCGCCCACTTCTACGGTTGGGCGCCGAAAAAAGGGACGCTCTTCAGGGGCACCGGCAGGCCGCCGTGGAAGAAGTACCGCGTGCAGGGCAAGTGGTTGGACGACCTCTGGACAGACGAGAAGCTCGACAACGACAACTACGAGGCCCTGGCATTGCGAGTCCGGGTAGGCTTCGCAGAGAGGAAGCGCAACGTCGAGGCAGTCCGCGCGGCGGAGAAGGATGCCTGGATCGACGATCAGGTCGCCCTCGTGGACTCCGCGCTGGACAAGATCCGGGCGCCCTTTCGCGAGTTCCCTGCCGTGCGCGCGGTGGGAAGAGTCGTTCCTGTCCCCCGACTTCCGGTGGAAACTTCTGGCTCTCGTGGCCGACAGTGCGTCTGGAAAGTCGAGCTACGCGGAGAGCCTCTTCAGCAAGCCGCTGGTGCTGACTGTGGAGGAGGCAGAGCACTTGGACCTCCATAGCTTTCAGTGCGACCAACATGACGGCTTTGTGCTGGACGGCTGCAACTCGTGGGCGCAGCTGCTCCGGTGGAGGGCTGTACTGCATGCGAGAAACACGAAGTCCCGCGGGGGACAGAGCGCCACGAACGTCCACGCGTACCCGCAGAACTTGTACGGGGTCGCCGTGGTGGCAACAGTGGACTGGGACGCGCCAAACTCCTACCTGGTCGACGAGAACTCGCCCTGGCGCTCTCGTTGGCTCTGCAAGAACGCAATCTTCGTGCGGTTGGCAGAGGGGGAGGCTTTCTACGACAAGACCCGGGTACCCACTGAGCGCGTGCCCAACGCCTTTTCTTTGTTTGCACAGACGGTGAAGCGCCGACGCTGAGCAGAGCAGCGGCGCGCGGAGCAGCCGGGACAAGGAGCCCCCCGCGCACCGAAACGAGTAAAGGCTTGAGGCACGAATTGGCTCGACTCAATGCGGAGGACCAAATAAAATCGAAAGCGTAATCCTTCCCCTGTCTGATAAAGGGGATCTTAAACGAAAAATTAAAAATTAGTAAAACAATGCCCCCAAATGGTAAACAAATATTGCAAAAATAGTCCCCAGACTATTCTTGGACTATTTTTGAATCTTCCCCCTGTAGAGGGACAGGCCCGTCCTAAATCTGCGGCGACAAACTCTGGAGCCGCGGCCCATGCCCCCAAGATGCGCGTGGTCAAGGCGCAGCCTGGTACGCGGGTCAACCTTTGGGTAGCGGGATCTGCGGCACGGCCTCCACCAGCTGGCGATCGGCAAGGCGCGGCGCAAGCGCGTGGCCCATCCTCCGGCGCCTGACCCTCTTGGAGCTGCTGCTGGGGGAGCGACTGTCTGCCCGTTCCATCATGCAACGCCTATGGGGTTCGCTCCCTCGTCGGGTTGGGCGCAGGCGGCTTCTGACACAGCTTTCCCGAACGCTGCCTTGCCGGGCCTGATCCGATGTTCAGCGCGAAAACTCCTGTGGTAACGAGATCAGAGGCCGAACTCGAGGTGACGAGCTGCTCCACCCAAGGTGCCAGCAAACTTTGCCTGAGCGCCCAGAGCACGGAAGTCGTCAATCATCACGTAACGGTGCGACCAACGTGTACGGGGGTGAACCGCTCGGGGGAGGATGGGTTTAATTATGGAGGTTCGGGAACCAACACCGGTAATTATATTCGGTCCAAGCACCGGCCAGCAGTCTAAGTGAAAGTCGCACGAGGAAAGCTGGGAGATTGACGGACACATGCCACACTGCATTCCTGCTGGTGCTCGCTTCCCTCTCCGCCGTCGCACATGCTTCTCGCCTCTCAACTCTTGCCAAACCATTATGGCAACTGCCAACTATCCACGGACCCTGTCGGCGTGTGGAAGACGCGGTTCGTCGTCGTCGGTCAAGACGCTGTTCTTCGAGAGCCTCGTCGTCGACGTCACCGCTCCCGCATCGAGGTCGCCGCTCTCGTTCCCATCCCTGAGCCCGTTGCCGAAACGACCAACGTCTCATTTCGTCAAAACCCCTGCGGGGGGTTGGGTCCCGGGGGGGGGGTCGCCAACCAGATACGCCTCACCCCTCGGAGGTCCCAGGGCCTAGAAAAGCCCCAAGACGGCCAAGAGGCCCCCGGGACGGTCCAGGAGGGCCCCGAAGCGCCGAACTATCGGTCCAAGGCGCCAAAGTAGCCTCCAGACGGCCCAAGAGGCTTCCCAGACTGGCCTCAAGACGGCCCAAGAGGCCTCCAAAACGCCCAAGAGCGCCCCGAGAGGCGTCCCAAGGGGGCCCCAAGAGGCCAAAGTCATTGATTATCGTAAGGTTTTTGACTGATTTGTGCGTTTTTCGCCTTTTCGGCTTGTCGACGCTCCAGAAAGGCCCAAGGGACCCCCAAGACCGCTACCAGACGGCCCCACGAGGGGTCCCAAGAGGGCCCCAAGACAGCCCAAGAGCAACGCAAGACGGCGCAAGAGGGCCCCAAGACGGCCCCACGAGGGGCCCCAGAGAGGGACTACGAAGGGAAAATTAGAGCCTTCCTCCCCAAGAGGCCCCCAGGAGGCCCCAAGAGGCACCCTAGAGGCCCCAAGAGGCACCCAACAGACCCCAAGAGGTCCCAAGGGGCAACCAAGAGGCCCCCCAAAAAACCCAAGAGGCCCTCGGGAGCCCCCCATCAGGCCCCCAAGACGCTCTCAATCCAAGAGGCCCCCACACTTCCCCCGTCGGCGTTGTGCCCGTCGCCGTCGTCCTCATCTTTGGCGTCGTCGTCGTCGTTATCGTCGTCGTTGTCGTTTTCGTTGTCGTCGTCGGCGTCGTCGTCGTCGCCGTCGCCGTCGTCGTCGTCGTCGTTTTCAGGGTCGGCGGCACCGAGCCAACTGAACCTAGTCGTACGCCAACTGTCCGGCATCGGCCACGCGGCTCGCATCGAAGATAAATCATCGCAGTCACGCTGCCCCTGCGGCCAAGCCAGACCGAATCGAAGCTCACATCCCGCCACGCCGCCAATCAGAAACACAGGTCGACCGAAGAGAACCCACGCGGCCAAACGTGCACGAAAGCGATACCATGGCGAATACGGTGCGTGTAGGAAGGAACAAAGAGGGCCACGAGCCTCGCACCAGCGAGCGCATCACAAAGGTAGACCGTGATCTGCGGCTAGCCGCGAGAGCGGCGGGCCGCAACAAATATGATCCCCCGCCCGTGCAGCCCAGGCAGCCCGGCGTGTCAACCCTGTGCAATCGGGCCGTCCTTCCCGCATCTTCCGCCATCTCTGCCGTTCGCTCCAGCATCTCTCGCTCCACAGTTTGTTGCCAGCGTGCACCCCTTCCCGTCCCTCCCAAAAATAGTTTAAACAAACCGTGGGGGCACATGCGCTCCTCAGCCTCTGACAATACGTGGCAGTTCCCATGATCGTTTGCTGAAGCCGAGGAGACATGTGGGCCGCCTCTATCGAACTCGCAAAATTTTGCCAGGGTGGAGGTGACGGCACAACTCTGAAGCACGCGCCCCAGACAATATTCCAGCTGCTTGCCATCCCTGTCAACAAGATAACACAAGAGAACACACAAATCAGTGGATATCTGATTTGTTCGCACGTGCCTCGATCGACCGCCCTCCCGCCCCAGTCTAATTCGAATGTACCTTATGATCTATTTTGATTTCTCAATGTTCATCTCTCTCTCTCGCTCTCTCTCTCTCTTTCTCATTCTTTGTATCTTCACACACATCTATCATTATCTATACCTTCTTCCCCGTGCATATCTGTGTACATGCACGCGCGTTTTGTTTCTCTCTCTCTCTCTCTCTCTACACCGTCTCTGTAATGAATTCATTATTTCTTTGTCCTAATGGTTTGGTTGTCTCTCTCTCTCTCTCTTTCTCTCTGTTTGTCTATATATATGTGTATATCGGACGTTGTGGTGTGAGACCGCAATGAAACGGAGACCCCCCCACCGGGAAATCGGTTTCAATTTATTATCCGTGCAGTGCGTGCGGGCGAGGCGAAGCTGCGTGGGCGGGCGAGAGGAATGAACCCGCCGCTGCCAGGGCGAAACCGAGCCAAACGTTGCTATCCCCCTGGTTGGATGGCAAAAGCCTTGTGGTGTCCCGATGGTTTCTCGATGGTGCCCCTATGGTGTCCCGTGTTGTCCCGTGGTGTCGCGTGGCGCGGGTGTGTACCGTCCTATGCCATATTATACTCTATGTTAGGCCAGCGATAGTGAGATTGATAATGATATCGATAGTGAGATCCTTTGGGTGAGATGTGAAATAAGAACGATCGTGAGATCGATAGTGAGATCGTTAGTGAGATCGATCGTGCGATTGACTGCCATGGATCATGCGACCGATAGTGAGATCGATAGTGAGATCAATAGTGAGATCGATAGTGAGATCGATTGAGTGGCATGGATCGTGAGATCGACTGGGAGATCAATACTGAGATCGATTGTGAGATCGAATGAGATCGGTAGTCTGATAGTGAGATCAATTGTGAGATCGACCGTGAGATCGATCGTAAAATCGATAGTGAGATCGATAGTGATATCAATCGTGTGATCGATAATGAGATCGATAGTGCGATCGATAGTGAACCCGATAATGAGATCAACAAAAAGATCGATTGAAAAATATTGATAGACAAATCGATCATGAGATCGATAATAAGATCGACCATGAACCCGGGAACCCGGGAACCAGAAACTAGAACGCCCAAAACCCCGCCGCCTATCGAAATCGGTCCGGAACCAACAATTGGGACCCGGGAGCCCGGGTTCCGGCTGCCTACAGAAACCGGCCAACAACTGTTGGCACATCCTTCAATTTCGGGTAGGACTCCTTCAGTGCAAGCACTGATTGGGGAATAGTATGTGCAAATCTCAGTCGCGTCTGTCCCACCCCGCAAAGTGCGGGCACGGTGCTGGCGCACCAGACGCACCTGGCGTGGCTGGCTCAGCTGGAGCATTTGGCGCACCTGACTCAAGAGCTAGCGCAACACCTGCTGACTTGGCACATTCGCCGCGCATGGCGCGCCAGGTGCGCTTAGCGCCCCCCGCGCACCTGCCACCCTTGCGCACCTTGCGAACCTGCCAAATCTGAGACGCATGGCGCACCTGGAACCGGTGCAAAAAGCGCGTTTTGACACACAAAACTCTCACGGGGCGCAACTGGAGCGCCTGGCTCACCTACCGCGCCTGGCGCTCGCCCCTCCCATGTAGCAAATGGCAACATCTTTCACTCCTCTCAAAACCAAATGCGCAATGCAAGCCGTGTGTACTTTCTCTGACACGGTACTGCCTACGTGCTTACACCTTCGCGCACCAGAACATACCTAGGTGCAGCCGTGGGCGCGACTACCAAGCACCCAGGTCAGACATTGTGGGCCCCACCTGCACCATTGTGCACGAGCCAAGGCCAATTCACAAGCTTGGGCGGAGTGGGGAAAGGGGTGGGGCGAGTGGCGGCGTCCGAGAGGGCACTTCCAAGCGCGACGATGGTTCCTGCTCGCCCCGCCTGCTTCAGAGCGCAGAGTTTGCTGGTTGGTCTTTGTTTCGGCGTTTCCCTTTTTTTCCTTTTGCGCGCCGACGAAGACTGGACGACGCGTCTCTCCCACTGGGCACCTGCCGCCAGAGCGCACGCGGCAACGTCGGCACCGCGCGGATACCGCCAAACATGCGGCGCCCAGCCTGGCGATCTGTGGTCGGATAGGATGCCGCCCTCTACGCGCGGTGAGTCTGCGCCAATGAGCACATCTGTGTCGGGAGGGCAAGTGGGAGGGCGAGCGAAACGGCTGACGGCCTTCCTCTGGAGAACTGGAGCCCCGCTCTTACCCTTACCGATCCCACGCTCCCCCCTCTTCCGAAAGGCTTACGGGACTACTGCGACAACC